TTCCTCCTTTTCCTCCGCCTCGTCCTTTGTTCTCCTGCCTTCTCCTCCTCCATTACCTTCATCCCTCGGCGTCGGCGGCGCTCAGGACGCACGATCGTTGCCTGGTCTCTGGCGCCGCAGAGCCGACGAGCAATAAGGGTGTCCGCAGATAGCTCTAGAAGGTCAGGGAGGGTGGTGGAGGGGGCACTGAGCCCTTCCGGAACCCCGTGTGCTAAGCAGCAGGCCTGATCGGTCCCGCTGTGCGCGCGTCCGGAGGTTCCGGCGCCAGGGGTGGGGAGACGCCAAGCGCCTGGTCGGCGGGTTGCGAAGCTTAACCGGGGCGCGCCAGCGTTCCTGGCCACCTGTGGCCTCGGAGATGGGGGAGCGCTTGGCGAGAGACCGGCGTGGCCCGACAAGCGGAAACGGGAAAGAGGGGAGCCTCGGCAGAGCACGGGCATGCTGTGCTTGGCACGACTTTTCCTCCGCCCGCAGACACGCAGAAGCGCAGGTGGCGGCCGCGGCCGGCGGCCCGGGCGCCCCTGGAAAGAGCTCGCGGAGGTCAGCGGAGGGCATGGTGCGACCTCAGCCGCCCGACTTCCCAGGCCTCCGCATGTCGTGGAAGGGGGGTCACGGCGCAAGGCTTTTCTTCGCCACTTTTTGGTCTCTGGTTCAGTTATCCCTGCTCCTCGTCCCCCGCTTCCTCCCTCCCCCCTCCCCCCTCCTACTCCTCATCCTCCTCCTCCTCCTCCTCCTCCTCCTCTTCTTCTTCCTCCTCCTCCTCCTCGTCCTCCTCCTCGTCCTCCTCCTCCTCCTCCTCCTACTCCACCCCCCATCCTCCTCCTCCTCCTCGTCTCGTCCTCCTCCTCCTCCTCTCCTCCTCCTCTCCTCCTCCTCTCCTCCTCCCTCCTCCTCCTCCTCCTCCTCCTCCTCCTCCTCCTCCTCCTCTTCCTCATCGTCCCCCTCGCCCCCCCCCAAACACTGAAGGTGATCTTGGGAGGGGGTACCGCAGGAGACGGTAGCTTCTTTATAGACGTGGGTTGTTGGAGGAGTGATGAGTTGGGGACAAGAGGATGATGATTCAATAGGCTTGCGCCGCATCCGCCGACCCCTTGAATTCGTCGGGGACTTTGTATTTGGCCATCCTGGCCGCCTTCGAGCTCGTCACGACGGTCTGGGAACTGTTTGTGTTGGTGATGAGGCGTGATGAGTTGGGGGCTGTAGATGAGGATATCCATGATGGCAGTTTGCGCAGCTTGGAACTGTAAGCTTGTCAGCTCGCTCTCCCCTGTCCCTGCGTGGTGGACCTCCTCCTCCTCTTGCTGCTCGTGCCCTTCCAGGAGATTTCGCTAGCTGTATTCTGGCCGCGCCCTCTTGCGTGCGCGTTGCGCTTGCTGGCTTGCTGGCTCGACCCGGCGGCCAACTTTCGCCGCCCCTGGGCGGCCTCGATTGCTCAGAGCTGAAGAGAGACGCCAGCCCACGTCGGAATAAATAACCCGCGTCCTCCTGTTCCATCCTCCTCCTCCTTCTCCTCCTCGTTCCTCTCCTCTTCCTATCTTCCCCTTCACTCTTTTTCTTTATGAGCAATTCCTCCCTGCCGCACCCCGAGGCCAGTCAGAAGGGCGGCCCGGGCGTTTCGCCTGAGGCTCTCTTACCGCTTATGACCCTGAGGCGTAAACATTGGCAAGAGATTCACAGATGGAGGGCGCGTGGTTTTCAAAATGTGGCTCTTGCCTTGGCGCCGCGGACATTTGTTTAACAACTCGCAAGAGTTTCACCGTTTGAGGGCGGGTCGTTTTCAACATGTGGCTCTCGCCTTAGCGCCCTGCGCATTTTCTTCTTGAGCTGTTCCAAGCGTTTCACGGACTGAGGGCGGGTCGTTTTTCAGAACGTGGTTCTAGCCTTAGCGCTGTGCGCGTCACATCCTTCTGTACAGATTCAAGAATTTCATGGGTCGTTTTTGAAATGTGTCTTTCGCCTTAGCGCCGCGCGCATTCGTTCTATACACTTGCAATATATTCACGGATTCCCATGGCCAGCGTGCCAGAAATGGTCTTTTGGAGCGATTCAGGATTGTCAGGGCGCACCAGTCAGGTTGGTTCGCGGCGCTGGAGTCGCAGGGGTGGCGTTCTGGCGCGAGTCAGGATCGTCAAGACGCAACAGTCAGGTTGGTTCGTGGCGTTGGAATCTCCAGAATGGTGTTTTGGCACGCTTCAGGATCTTCAAACTGTTGTCGCCCAGCGGGGCACTTCCCCCAGTGGAGTTGAATCCTTGTACGGGGCCTATGAAGTGGGGGCTTGAAGGGTGTATTCCAACACTGTTGATGATTCTTGGGTTTACACGGGTCCTCCTCCTCCTCCTCCTCGTCCTTCCTTGTTCCTCCCTCCTCCTCCTGCTCCTCCTCCTCATCATTCCTCCTCCTCCTCATCCTCGTCCCTTTCCTCGCGGCCCGTCTTCTTTTTTTTGGGGGGGGGCGCCCGAGGAGCAGCAGACAGGGGACGCCCCCGACGCTGCGCCAGAGGAG